CTGCAGGAGTGCTGGAAGCTGCAGGAGTGAGCTGGAAACTGCAGCAGTGCTGGAAGCTGCAAGTGTGTTGGAAGCTGCAGGAATGAGCTGGAGGCTGCAGGAGTGCTGGAAGCTGCAGGAGAGAGCTGGAGGCTGCAGGAGTGCTGGAAGCTGCAAGAGGGCTTGAAGCTGCAGGCATGTGCTGGAAGCTGCAGGCATGTGCTGGAAGCTGCATGAGTGCTGGAAGCTGCAGGAGTGAGCTGGAGGCTGCAGGAGTTCTGGAAGCTGCAGGAGTGCTGGAAGCTGCAGGAGTGAGCTGGAGGCTGAAGGAGTGCTGGAAGCTGCAGGAGTGAGCTGGAGGCTGCTCGAGTGCTGGAAGCTGCAGGAGTGTGCTGGAGGCTACAGGAGTTCTGGAAGCTGCAAGAGTGCTGGAAGCTGCAGGAATGAGCGCGAGGCTGCAGGAGTGAGCTGGAAGCTGCAGGTGCAAGCTGCAGGAGTGAGTTTGAGGCTGCAGGAGTGCTGGAAGCTGCAGGAATGAGCTGGACCTGCATGAGTGCTGGAAGCTGCAGGAGTGAGCTGGAAGCTGCAAGTGTGTTGGAAGCTGCAGGTGTGAGCTGGAGGCTGCAAAAGTTCTGGAAGCTGCAAGTGCTGGAATCTGCAGGAGTGAGCAGGAATCTGCAGGAGTGAGCTGGAGGCTGCAGGATTGCTGGAAGCTGCAGGAATGAGCTGGACATGCATGAGTGCTGGAAGCTGCAGGACTGAGCTGGAAGCTGCAAGTGTGCTGGAAGCTGCAGGAGTGAGCTGGAGGCTGCAGGAGTGCTGCAATCTGCAGGAGTGAGCTGGAAGCTGCAGGAATGAGCTGGAAGCTGCAGGAGTGACCTGGCGGCTGCAGGAGTGCTGGAAGCTGCAGCAGTGAGCTGGAAGCTGCAGGAGTGAGCTGGAGTCTGCAGGAATGTATTGGAAGCTGCAGGAGTGAGCTCGAGGCTGCAGGACTGCTGGAAGCTGCAAGAGTTCTGCAAGCTGCAGTAATGAGCTGGAAGCTGCAGGAGTGAGCTGAAGGCTGCAAGAGTGCTGGAAGCTGCAGGAATGAGCTGGAGGCTGCAGTAATGCTGGAAGCTGCAGGAGTGAGCTTGAGGCTGCAGGAGTGCTGGAAGCTGCAGGAGTGAGCTGGAGGCTGCAGGAGTGTATTGGAAGCTGCAGGTGAGCTGGAGGCTGCGGGAGTGCTGGAGGCTGCAGGAATGCTGGAAGCTGCAGGAGTGAGCTTGAGGCTGCAGGAGTGCTGGAAGCTGCAGGAGTGAGCTGGAGGCTGCAGGAGTGTATTGGAAGCTGCAGGTGTGAGCTGGAGGCTGCGGGAGTGCTGGAGGCTGCAGGAATGCTGGAAGCTGCAGGAATGAGCTGGAGGCTGCTCGAGTGCTGGAAGCTTCAGGAGTGCTGGATGCTGCAGGAGTGAGCTGGAGGCTGCAGGATTGCTGGAATCTGCAGGAGTGAGCTGTAAGCTGCAGGGGTGCTGGATGCTGCAGGAGTGCTGGAAGCTGCAGGAATGAGCTGGCGTCTCAGAGGGAAGGCAGTAGCAGAGAGTGAAGTGAGTGGAGCCTCGAAGAGTGGTGATCGGATGACTTTCAGAAGTTAGCCTTGAAAAGGACTGTTTGAACAAATGCTCCTGCTGATGCTGGCTTCCGTCAGCTGCTGGGCTCGGTCGACTTGACTGGGCGCGTCATAGTTGCGATTCAAGAAAGCTCCCTGCTCCCGGGGTCAAGATGTGACACAAGGTCGTTTTTCGTGGGATTATTTGACTCCCACGGGGTCAAGACGTGACACAAGGTCGTTTTTCGTCGGAAAACCCAAGCGTTTCCGCATAGGGTCACTGGTCAAAAATTGGTCATATCATGTCCAAGCTGGTCAAAGTTTAGTCAAGTTCTGGTCCAAATTGGTCTTGTCTTATCAGGTCCTGATATGGTCCAAACTAGACTTTGCCATGGTCGCAACCTAGCCTGAAGGCCGGGCTGCTCCCTGGCCGGCCGTATTTACTTAACTCCCACGGAGTCAAGATGTGACACAAGGTCGTTTTTCGTGGGAAACCCGAGCGTTTCCGCATAGGGTCACTGGTCAAAGATTGGTCATAACATGTCCAAGCTGGTCAAAGCTTCGTCAAATTCTGGTCCAAGTTAGTCTTAGCTTGTCTTAGCAGGTCCTGATATGGTCCAAACTAGACTTTGCCATGGTCGCAACCCAGCCTGAGGCAGGGCTGCTTTCGTGGCATCTAGATATGACGGTTCATACAAGAGAAGCGGTGACGCTAAACAAGTAAATGAATATAATTAATTTCGGGCTGTATTAATTACAGTCAAAAGTGTGTTCGGTGTTTGTTGACTGTATTTAAATTAATTTCGGTTCGAAATTAAAGGTCTTTTATTTTTGTTTAGTGGCGAAAATTGAGTTTTGTGTGTTTCTGTCAGTTTGAAAGGATGTCGTTGCTATTTTTAGCACAGAAGGGTGGTGACCTTTCTCTACCAGCCGGCATATCCGGGGTTGTTTAAGAAAAGGTGGGAGTGGTGTTTGGGCACACTGCGACAATGCAACAGTAAACTAAGTATTTAGTGTTAGTTGTATAGATTCTCTTTATTCAATATGATTGGCAAAATCTTGCTAATATTGCTGCCTCTAGCTGCTGCTGATGAAGCTGGGCTGCTGCTGGCTCTAGCTGCTGATGATGATGGTGATGATGCTGGGCTGCTGCTGCTGCCTCTAGCTGCTGCGTGTAGTCAGCGAAGGTGTGAGGGGGAGCTCGTCGCTCAACCCCGAGGCTAAAAATCAGCCGGTAGAATGGTATTTACTTGACACCCACAAAGTCAAGATGTGACACAAGGTCGTTTAACGTGGGAGACCCGAGTGTTTTCCCTCAAAGGCCACTGGTCAAAATTGGTCATAGCTTGTCCAAGCTGGTCAGAGCCTAGTCAAAGCTGGTCATGACTTGTCCTAGAAAGTCCAGGCCGGAGCCAGTCCAAGCTAGTCGAAGCCTTGATCGAATCTCAACCAAAGGCCAAGAAACGATCCAATATTTGTCAAACCCCCAACGAAAAAATCAGCCGGGAAAATGGTATTTACTTGACACCCACAAAGTCAAGATGTGACACAAGGTCGTTTAACGTGGGAGACCCGAGTGTTTTCCCTCAAAGGCCACTGGTCAAAATTGGTCATAGCTTGTCCAAGCTGGTCAGAGCCTAGTCAAAGCTGGTCATGACTTGTCCTAGCAAGTCCAGGCCGGAGCCAGTCCAAGCTAGTCGAAGCCTTGATCGAATCTCAGCCAAAGGTCAAGAAACGATCCAATATTTGTCAAACCCCCAACGAAAAAATCAGCCGGGAAAATGGTATTTACTTGTCACCCACAAAGTCAAAATGTGACACAAGGTCGTTTAACGTGGGAGACCCGAGTGTTTCCACTCAAAGGCCACTGTTCCAAAACTGGTCATAGCTTGTCCAAGCTGGTCAGAGCCTAGTCAAAGCTGGTCATGACTTGTCCTAGCAAGTCCAGGCCGGAGCCAGTCCAAGCTTGTCGAAGCCTTGATCGAATCTCAGCCAAAGGTCAAGAAACGATCCAATATTTGTCAAAAACCCTAACGAAAAAAATCGCTGGGAGAATGGTATTTACTTGATTCCCACAAAGTCAAGATGTGACACAAGGTCGTTTAACGTGGGAGACCCGAGTGTTTTCCCTCAAAGGCCACTGGTCAAAATTGGTCATAGCTTGTCCAAGCTGGTCAGAGCCTAGTCAAAGCTGGTCATGACTTGTCCTAGCAAGTCCAGGCCGGAGCCAGTCCAAGCTTGTCGAAGCCTTGATCGAATCTCAGCCAAAGGTCAAGAAAGGATCCAATATTTGTCAAACCCCCAACGAAAAAATCAGCCGGGAAAATGGTATTTACTTGTCACCCACAAAGTCAAAATGTGACAAAGGTCGTTTAACGTGGGAGACCCGAGTGTTTCCACCAAAGGCCACTGTTCCAAAACTGGTCATAGCTTGTCCAAGCTGGTCAGAGCCTAGTCAAAGCTGGTCATGACTTGTCCTAGCAAGTCCAGGCCGGAGCCAGTCCAAGCTTGTCGAAGCCTTGATCGAATCTCAGCCAAAGGTCAAGAAACGATCCAATATTTGTCAAAAACCCTAACGAAAAAAATCGCTGGGAGAATGGTATTTACTTGATTCCCACAAAGTCAAGATGTGACACAAGGTCGTTTAACGTGGAGACCTGAGTGTTTTCCTCAAAGGCCACTGGTCAAAATTGGTCATAGCTTGTCCAAGCTGGTCAGAGCCTAGTCAAAGCTGGTCATGACTTGTCCTAGCAAGTCCAGGCCGGAGCCAGTCCAAGCTAGTCGAAGCCTTGATCGAATCTCAGCCAAAGGTCAAGAAAGGATCCAATATTTGTCAAACCCCCAACGAAAAAAATCAGCCGAAAATGGTATTTACTTGTCACCCACAAAGTCAAAATGTGACACAAGGTCGTTTAACGTGGGAGACCCGAGTGTTTTCACCAAAGGCCACTGTTCCAAAACTGGTCATAGCTTGTCCAAGCTGGTCAGAGCCTAGTCAAAGCTGGTCATGACTTGTCCTAGCAAGTCCAGGCCGGAGCCAGTCCAAGCTAGTCGAAGCCTTGATCGAATCTCAGCCAAAGGTCAAGAAACAATCCAATATTTGTCAAAAACCCTAACGAAAAAAAATCGCTGGGAGAATGGTATTTACTTGATTCCCACAAAGTCAAGATGTGACACAAGGTCGTTTAACGTGGAGACCCGAGTGTTTTCCCTCAAAGGCCACTGGTCAAAATTGGTCATAGCTTGTCCAAGCTGGTCAGAGCCTAGTCAAAGCTGGTCATGACTTGTCCTAGCAAGTCCAGGCCGGAGCCAGTCCAAGCTTGTCGAAGCCTTGATCGAATCTCAGCCAAAGGTCAAGAAAGGATCCAATATTTGTCAAACCCCAACGAAAAAATCAGCCGGGAAATGGTATTTACTTGTCACCCACAAAGTCAAAATGTGACACAAGGTCGTTTAACGTGGAGACCCGAGTGTTTCCACTCAAAGGCCACTGTTCCAAAACTGGTCATAGCTTGTCCAAGCTGGTCAGAGCCTAGTCAAAGCTGGTCATGACTTGTCCTAGCAAGTCCAGGCCGGAGCCAGTCCAAGCTTGTCGAAGCCTTGATCGAATCTCAGCCAAAGGTCAAGAAACGATCCAATATTTGTCAAAACCCTAACGAAAAAAAAATCGCTGGGAGAATGGTATTTACTTGATTCCCACAAAGTCAAGATGTGACACAAGGTCGTTTAACGTGGAGACCCGAGTGTTTTCCTCAAAGGCCACTGGTCAAAATTGGTCATAGCTTGTCCAAGCTGGTCAGAGCCTAGTCAAAGCTGGTCATGACTTGTCCTAGAAAGTCCAGGCCGGAGCCAGTCCAAGCTAGTCGAAGTCTTGATCGAATCTCAGCCAGAGGTCAAGAAACGATCCAATATTTGTCAAAAACCCTAACGAAAAAAATCGCTGGGAGAATGGTATTTACTTGATTCCCACAAAGTCAAGATGTGACACAAGGTCGTTTAACGTGGGAGACCCGAGTGTTTCCACTCAAAGGCCACTGGTCAAAATTGGTCATAGCTTGTCCAAGCTGGTCAGAGCCTAGTCAAAGCTGGTCATGACTTGTCCTAGCAAGTCCAGGCCGGAGCCAGTCCAAGATAGTCGAAGCCTTGATCGAATCTCAGCCAGAGGCCAAGAAACGATCCAATATTTGTCAAACCCCCAACGAAAAAATCAGCCGGGAAAATGGTATTTACTTGACACCCACAAAGTCAAAATGTGACACAAGGTCGTTTAATGTGGGAGATCCGAGTGTTTCCACTCAAAGGCCACTGGTCCAAAACTGGTCATAGCTTGTCCAAGCTGGTCAGAGCCTAGTCAAGGCTGGTCAGGACTTGTCCTAGCAAGTCCAGGCCGGAGCCAGTCCAAGCTAGTCGAAGCCTTGATCGAATCTCAACCAAAGGCCAAGAAACGATCCAATATTTGTCAAACCCCCAACGAAAAAATCAGCCGGGAAAATGGTATTTACTTGACACCCACAAAGTCAAGATGTGACACAAGGTCGTTTAACGTGGGAGACCCGAGTGTTTTCCCCTCAAAGGCCACTGGTCAAAATTGGTCATAGCTTGTCCAAGCTGGTCAGAGCCTAGTCAAAGCTGGTCATGACTTGTCCTAGCAAGTCCAGGCCGGAGCCAGTCCAAGCTAGTCGAAGCCTTGATCGAATCTCAGCCAAAGGTCAAGAAAGGATCCAATATTTGTCAAACCCCCAACGAAAAAATCAGCCGGGAAAATGGTATTTACTTGTCACCCACAAAGTCAAAATGTGACACAAGGTCGTTTAACGTGGGAGACCCGAGTGTTTCCACTCAAAGGCCACTGTTCCAAAACTGGTCATAGCTTGTCCAAGCTGGTCAGAGCCTAGTCAAAGCTGGTCATGACTTGTCCTAGCAAGTCCAGGCCGGAGCCAGTCCAAGCTAGTCGAAGCCTTGATCGAATCTCAACCAAAGGCCAAGAAACGATCCAATATTTGTCAAACCCCCAACGAAAAAAATCAGCCGGGCGATGGTATTTACTTGACACCCACAAAGTCAAGATGTGACACAAGGTCGTTTAACGTGGAGACCCGAGTGTTTTCCCCTCAAAGGCCACTGGTCAAAATTGGTCATAGCTTGTCCAAGCTGGTCAGAGCCTAGTCAAAGCTGGTCATGACTTGTCCTAGCAAGTCCAGGCCGGAGCCAGTCCAAGCTAGTCGAAGCCTTGATCGAATCTCAGCCAAAGGTCAAGAAACGATCCAATATTTGTCAAACCCCAACGAAAAAATCAGCTGAAAATGGTATTTACTTGTCACCCACAAAAGTCAAAATGTGACACAAGGTCGTTTAACGTGGGAGACCTGAGTGTTTCCACCAAAGGCCACTGTTCCAAAACTGGTCATAGCTTGTCCAAGCTGGTTAGAGCCTAGTCAAAGCTGGTCATGACTTGTCCTAGAAAGTCCAGGCCGGAGCCAGTCCAAGCTTGTCGAAGCCTTGATCGAATCTCAGCCAAAGGTCAAGAAACGATCCAATATTTGTCAAAAACCCTAACGAAAAAAAATCGCTGGGAGAATGGTATTTACTTGATTCCCACAAAGTCAAGATGTGACACAAGGTCGTTTAACGTGGAGACCCGAGTGTTTTCCTCAAAGGCCACTGGTCAAAATTGGTCATAGCTTGTCCAAGCTGGTCAGAGCCTAGTCAAAGCTGGTCATGACTTGTCCTAGCAAGTCCAGGCCGGAGCCAGTCCAAGCTAGTCGAAGCCTTGATCGAATCTCAGCCAAAGGTCAAGAAAGGATCCAATATTTGTCAAACCCCCAACGAAAAAATCAGCCGGGAAAATGGTATTTACTTGTCACCCACAAAGTCAAAATGTGACACAAGGTCGTTTAACGTGGGAGACCCGAGTGTTTCCACCAAAGGCCACTGTTC